CTATTATTCTGCCTTCACATATAACAATCTATTCCCTGCTTCTGTCCATGTAAGATGCATCCTGCCTTAGAACAAACTTATATAATGTTTGTTTGTTTTTTCCTGTTCAGCGTTCACATGCATAGAGCGAGCAGCTCCACAGATACTTGATTCTCTTCACAAAAGAACATGCTACCAAAAGAAATAAACAAAGGACAAATCCAAACACATTTGATTATGCAGAGTATGATACAATAAAATGAGTTCCACTTTTCCAGCTAAGGTGAAATATTTTGATCCAAAAAGTTGTGTTCTATTGACCACCATATACTACTACATCTCAAATTTACAACAGATGCATAATCTTGCATCAAAGCAAAACATTGAGAGAAACATAACACCTCTAAATACACATAGTTGATCATCATCGTCATCTGGTCCATGATACAGAGTCAACCTAATCCCTGGCTTCTTGAACAGTTGAAGCTTTTTGCATATTGCTGGCTCTGCTCCATCAGTGCCGGATCTTCATCCAACAACCCTCCTACTTGCTTGCCCTGTGCATATTTATAATGTTAAACAACCTAATTACATGACTCTTACATATTTTTCTTTATTAGCCTAAGTTTGTTTCTATTTTAAAGATTGCACCCTCAGGATGTTATTTGTGAGGTAAAAAGGGACTCCTACTTTGTAATTTTAGATGAAATTTTTTTTTGTTCCTTCTGTAACCAAGCAAAAAGAAGAGATGTATGTAGTGTAGGTGATTATTTATTATATGCAAACAGAAAGAAGCAGTAGTGGGACTGGGAGTACATCTTTCTTCCCAATATGCGTATAGAAGTAATTGAGCAAATTCTGTTTGGCTTCCTTAACTTGATAGTGGACCACCGCCTTGGGAATAGTGTTCTAGTGTTGATCAGAAATCAAATTCACATAAGACGACACATTCAACCCTATTCTCCTGAAGTGCCCCTCTCAGTAACGATCAACTGTTGGTGTTGGGTCTGCTGGTGGTGGTGAGTGTTCCCTCAAGTTCCCACGTAATTTACTTCTCGTGTTCTCTGCTGCTCTCCTCCCTACCTCCTGACTGCCACCTCCAGCTCTCTCGAGTTCCTGTGGAAGCCTCCGGAAGAAATCAACGGTCAGATACGAAGATTCCATTTCAACCAATCTAGTTACTGTTTTCTTGCTCTCCTCACGAAACCTTTCCAAAGCCTCATTTGCCGCTCCTACTATGGTTGTTTGTAAACTAGGGAAACGTTTCATTTCCTGTTTAGCCTCCTGAGATTTAGCATGTGAATGAAGGAATTGGAAAACATATTGTGAAAATAAGAAGCTCACCTGACACTCCCCAATTGACATCCTCACGAGTTCCTTGAGCACAAAGTGGACCTGAAAAAGAAAAAGGAAAAAAAAACGAAAAGAAGAAGAAGAAGAAGAAGCACACTTTTGTTTGATCATTCATGGATGCAGCAATGGCTACTCGAGAATGGTCTTTGATGCTTACAGCGTCCACAGTAGCTTCAGCAGGTCCTTTAAAGTAGGTCACTGAGCCTTCAATAAGACGCCTACAACCTTGCTCGGGAGCAATCAAGTNGTGGTTGGTAACCATCAGCTTCCGTGACAATTTCCTCACATTCTGTAGAGAAAGGTCCCGGTCGATTGAAAGTGTTCTCAAAGCTGCTAGCAGCTGATGGTCAAAAACTTCATAAATCCGATCTCCTTCTGCTCGGCTGAAACAGTTGATAAACATAGTTGTTAGTTAAGACATCATATGCATATGTCGTTTCTCCTTCAATAAATATACAACTTGAATCGAGTTTGGATGCATTAGAAAGAAAATGTAAGTGTGAGTCGTCTTTTCAAAGACAACACTAACAAATTTCCACACTAGTTCTTAAATGACCATGTGGAATGGCAGCGGAATACCATCAGAACCTTACCCTCCATCAAGATGTTCTTTGAATATGCGGTCGAAAGCACGGCATAGTTCCAAGATGGTGTACAGTTGAGCCTGAAAAATATATAGCGAGTTGCTGACGAGCTTGAAATACTTCAATTAAATAATGACAACGAAGAAAAACAGAAACACACCCCAACATCAACATCAATAGGCCTTCCCAGGTGGTCGAGCTTAGATTC